TTATAGATTATTATTTTCATATCTTACCTCGCCCTCACCCACTTTTCTGTTGTTTGCCCCCCTGGGAGGGGGTTCTTGATCAATCCTTGTGATCTATTCCCCCTTTCTCCCCTGAACCATCTTTTCACGGTGGGCATAGGGTCCCATTCCTTTCGCGGTGGGTCAGTTAGACAATAGTCATTGTGTCTGATAGATTAGAAACAGGCAGCTTCTCTTTTCTAAGCATAGCTCATCTTTGAAAAACCACTTTCTGCTTCTGTTGAACTTGCAGCAATTGCTCTGACAATATTTTGTCAGAGTTTGCATAGTTCACTCATCACGTGGGGATGTGGGGAGCAGCACAAGGGTGACACAGATGACAGGCGTCACCCTCTGGTCACCTAAAGAGGAGAAGTACCAGCCAGAGGGTGACACACTGTCACTCGTTTCTCCTTTGTGCTGCTCCCTAAGTTATTATGATTTTCATATCTTACACTGACCACTGTCTCCCTTCTCCCTTGGTTTCTGTGGTTCATCCCCCTGGGGGTGTGGGATGTGGTTATGTGTTGTTCATTGCGATCCGTCCCTTCCTCTCCAGACCTCCTCCCTACCCTCCTGGTATCACAACTCACATTCCTGTTTCTGGATTCTGTGTGTCGTGGGCTCTCATCTCTTGTCTGTACCTGTGCACATGCCCCCGTCTAGCCCGCAGTGAAAGGCGGGACTGGGGTCATGACAGTGGGGGGTGAGGAAGCCTCAAGGAACCAGAGGAATAGTGTGTGTTTCCTCAGTGCTTTACTGCACCCTGGTCGACTCATCCTTTCCCTGTGACTCCTCTGTGAGGAGATGTCCCATTGTCTACAGGTGGGCTTTGGGTCTCTGCTTGGATCCCCCTCATTCTCAACAATATGGGTGCTTGTTTGTTTGCATATTTGTCATTCTTTCCTGCTTATTTTACACCTTACAATACTGGGTTGAAAACTGGGCATTATAAATAAAGAATGCGGCAATTCTAGAAATCAACCCACGCCCCTCTATCCCAGTGCTTGCTGTTGCCTTTTGTTGTTACTGCTTTTTGTTTAGTGTACTTCCAGAACTAACTCTGTGCGATCTACCCTTTGTTATGCGCACCTCTGTTAGCTTAGCAGTCAGCTTCCTGGACAGAGGATTTCCTAGATGCCTGAATCAGGAAGTCTCCCGCTGTTTTGCAGCCTCTGTCTGTCTTATACCTCATCTCAGTACTCTTCCCTAGCGCGGCCTCCTGCCCACACAGAGCCCTGGGTTTTCCGGGTCACTCCTGGGAAGTGCACAATCCTGCACCTGTGTCTGACTTCTCAGAACTCAGCATAAAGCGAAGCTTTGGAAGGCCCCTTAGGAACTTCTCATATCTCTGACGTTCTTTTGACGAGTCACCTGTTTGGGTCAACTGCTATTATTGCTTCAGACAGCTGGGAGGGGAAACAATTGTGGATTTTTTTCAACAGACATACTAGGGATAAGACTCTCCTCCATATAAGTAAGACAAATCCTATTAATGGGGCGTTTGCGGCAAGCTTTCAAACTGGTTAAACCGTGTAATTCTCTGGGTATGGAGGTGTGTCCCGTGTGCTGGCTGCTGGCTTTCACGGCGACCACAGTTGTGCGGCTGCCGGTGTTCAGGGCTTGTCGTGGAGCTGGGCGGGGGAGAGATGGGGACGGGGCCTGTTCACGCTTAATAAAGGCTTGCTTTTCTTGCTAAGTCCAACCAGCTCTCTAGAATAACTGCTCTCGGCTTGTCGCCCACCGCGGGGCAGCGTCGACAGTGGTGTCGGTGTTCGTCACACTGTTTCATGGAGAAGTGGGTTTGCAGAGGTCCTCATCCCCCATCGTCAAAGTGCTTCTCCTGTGACTGAAGCCTTAATAACAGCGAGTGGTAGCCAGTGCTCAGGGCCACGCCCCAGAGAGTGAGATTCATTGGCTCAGAGCCCATGGACACTGGGCACTGCACGGCGTGGGTACAGCGCTGCCTGTGTGCTGCGCAACGTGAGACAGTGTCCAGCAGTCACTCTTACGTATCCCTCTGTGAGGAGAATGACTCACACAGCGGACCAGCATCTAATTCACTGGTCCCAACCATTTCGTGGTCGAGAGACCAGGAGTAAACACACGTGGCTATGGTGGAGGTGGAGGTGGAGGTGGAGGTGGAGGTGGTGGAGGTAGAGGTGGTGGAGGTGGAGGTAGAAGCGGAGATGGAAGTGGGGTGGAGGTGAAAGTGGAGGTGGAGGTGGTGGAAGAGGTGGACGTGGAGGTGGAGGAGGTGGAGGTGCAGGTGGTGGTGGTAGAGGTGGAGGTGGAGGTGGTGGAAGAGGTGGAGGTGGAGGAGGTGGAGGTCGTAGAGGT